AAAAAAAAAAAAAAAAAAAAATTCTGTCTGGTGGACCTCCTGATAATTGGAGAAGTATGAGTTGATGTATGCTCATGTTCAGTAGACTGAGTTGGTTGAGGATGAGGTGTTTGAGGTGTGATGTCTGATGTGTGAGGTGTTTGAGTTGGTTGAAGAATAGGTGGTTGAGTGGTGATATTATCAGAGAGTATAGCAGAAGATGGTGGAAACATGGGTTCAATGATATCTGAAGCAAGAGTAGAATCAGGTAAGTGTATATTGGTTTTGAATGGGAACACATCTTCATAAAATATCACATGCCTGGAAATAACTGTTTTCTTGATTTCCATATTGTAGAGCTTATAACCCTTACAACCTAATGGATAACCAAGAAGAATGCATTTAGAGGCTCTAGGTGCAAATTTGGATCTGTTTGCTTGCAATGTGGATGAATAACATAAACACCCTATGACTTTCAAATGACTGAAATCAGGTTCCTTCTTATATAAAACAAAGTAAGGAGATTTGTTTTGTAAAACAGGTGAAGGAATCCTATTTATAATATGAGCAGCTACCATGATGCAGTCATTCCAAAACATGACAGGTAAGTTGGCATGAAAAAGTATGGCCCTAGCAACTTGTAACAGATGCTGATGTTTTCTTTCCACTCTAGCATTTTGTTGTGGTGTTTCTACACATGAAACTTGATGAATGATGCCATGAGTATAATAGAAATCAGATAATATGAACTCAGTGCCATTGTCAGTTCTAATAGATTTTATTTTACAATTGAACTGAGTTTGGACCATATTTGAAAAATGAATGAGAGCAGACTTGGTGTCAGATTTGTATGTAAGAGGATATATCCATGTACATCTACTATTGTCATCAACAACAGTTAAAAAATATTTGTGACCAGAGTGATAAGGTATGTAGAAAGGTCCCCATACATCACAATGAACTAACTCAAAAGGAAATTATGCATGATTAGTGCTGTCAGGAAATGGTAATCTTTTCTGTCTTGAAAAATGACAAACATCACAAGGTTTATGTTTGTATGCATCACAGTTGGACATGGAAACAGGTAATTGAGATAATTTATGAAAAGAGAGATGACCAAGTTTGTTATGCCATAACAAGCAGCTAGTATTATCAACAATGGTACTATTATTGGCATCAACTGAAACAGGTGCAATAGAATCAAGAGAGTTTGTACAAGTATGATCAATAAACTGAAAATTAGAGTTTGTACAATTCTCTGCAGAAATTGAAGCATTTACTGTATGATCAATAGACCGAAAATGAGAGACAACATCATTATCAATATGAGATAAAGAAAGATGGTATAGACCATCCTTCATGTCAGCAAAACCAATCATTTTGAGGGTTCTCAGGTCCTGCAAAATGCAGTATGAAGAAACAAATTTGACAATGCAATTGTTGGATGAACATAACTTTGATACAGAAATAAGATTGAAAGTAAAGGATGGTCCAAACAGTACATGAGGCAGTACAATATTAGGTCCCAGTTTCAACTGTCCCACATGACTTGCCTCAGTATGTTGACCATTAGTAAGATTAATTTTAACAGTTGAGGGAATAGGAGCAGAAGAAAAATAGGATGTCACAAATCATGTGATCAGTTGCTCCAGTGTCCAAAATCCAAGATGTTTTAGAAAATTTTGTGATAGAAGAGACATTGTTTAAATATATACCTGCAGAGGATGCAGTTGGATTTGTATGAGCAGTGGCAACCATAGGAGTTATACTAGTGCCTTGTTTCTGCTCAACAGATCTTTTGAATTCAAGAAACTCATGTAACAAGGAGTCAGTCATAGAAGGTGTTGTGTACAAATTGTTATTTTTTTTTTACCGAGTACCGAATCGAAGGATTCGTTCCCCAGGTCGATCTCACGAGGAAGGCGGTTCGGAATTTAGAAGTGGTATTGATAACATATAAAAGAAAAATAAATCCTAAACACTCTAATCACGATTGATTGGGGGAATAAACTAAAACTAACTTGAGATAGAAAAGCAAATAAATGAAATAACAATTAAATTGCTAGAGAATTAGAAGAAGTTTTAGGGATCAGGAAATCTCATCAAGTCCTAAACTATGTTGAACGCTTATTTGCTCGGTTACGTGATTCAACAAGCCTACACATCTAGAGGTTTATGCTCAATAACTTTTTGTAACAAGAGCACACACATAAACGATAAACTCATTTAATCAAGCAACTCGTAGACAATACTTTTACGAACATGTCTACTTTATACGAGCCTAGATCGGTCAACTCATCCCCTTTCAGTTCTAAGAGTTGACTAATTTAGACTAGACGGTTGTTAATCGACTAATCTATTGGAATTAATATCATCAAACTTGAATGAATCATATCCAATTGGGAAACAATTGCAAATTGAAGTGTCACTCTTCAACAACATTCAACATTCAAGAATGAGAATTGGAAAACCTTTTTTTTTTTAAGCAGCAACTCACATAGAGAACAAAACACATTCAACATAATTCAAAACAAGAATCAAAATCCCTAACCCTAGGTGAATGGATTACCTCATTCTTGGATTCAATTCCATGTTAATCAAATTGAAGAACATAAACTCAATCAACAATAAGATCATAGAATTGAAAAACTTACAATCGGATTAAGACTTGTAAGAGTTCGATCCTAATGTCTTCGTTTCCAACAATCCAAGCATGAGGGAAAAAGAAAAAAACGGAGAAATAATTCTAAGAAACTATTTACAATTTGATTCTTGGAGTGTCACCCTCCAAGATCGAATCAAGATAAAAAAAAGAACTGAAAAGAGGAGTTCTGGAGGTGTTTTTCAAGGTTGGGAACGAGTCCCAATGAAAAGTATACGAAAAATAGAGCAAAACGGGTTTTAAAAATTCTGGTCGCGACCTCCGCGGCCGCGGGGAGCTCCGCGGCCGCGACCTTTCGCTGCAGCAGTGCTCCCGCAGCCGCGGGATTTCTCCGCTGCCCGCGGTGAACAAAATTTGGCTGCTACACGCGGCTTTACGATTTTTGCTCGTTCGGGTTCGTTTTAACTCGGAATTGAGTTCCGTTTTTTTCTACGCGTCGCTAACGAACCCCTCTATCTAACTATGCAAACCCATCAAATATTTTCTTGAAAACCTATCCTCTCCTGCACACCAAAAACAAAAACAAAACCAAAAAACACCGGAAACCAAACGGAACACACCAAGACACTCAAAATAACGCAAAACATGCAATAAACGACAAAACGACTTAAAAACCAACTAAATAACTCAAATCGGGGGAAAAAGAAAGGGAAAATATCAACGAAAAACGCAACAAAAATAGGACAAACAACTCCCTCACACTTAAACCTTTGTTCGTCCCGAACTAAAAGAAAAGAAAAGAAGGCACGAGCATGGATACAGTTTCAAATAAAAAAAGCCTCAAAATGCCCAATTCAATCGAGTCGAATTTCATAGACAGTACGACCATATGCCTCAAAATATCAACTTGGCCTCAAAATGACAAACTCTCAAACGTATAGAATGTAATATAAACATCACTCATTTTCTTACATGAATATATGATAGGCACGCTCAAAGTTGGCCAATATTCAAGTTTCAACATATGCTTGCCTATCGTTTAAATTACTTGAAAACAATCAAAGTTCAAAATATGCGAATCAAGAGGACTTGACGGGTTATAATGTGGCTGAGGTAAAGGTACGAATATATAAGGACAAGAAGCTCAAATAGAAGATCACGGTTCTCGAGTATACTCAAGTATTCCACTACTCATCCAGAATCAACAAGGCAAAACACTTACTACCCAACCAACATTCCACAGACAACTCATAGATGCTCAAAACAAGTTGCAACCTCATCACTTAACCTTATTATTTTTTTTCTTTCTTTTTTTTTTTTTAATTTGGAGAGTGACTTTTTCCAAACAAGAACGAATCGAAGGGACAACATTCTATAGGTTTAAACATTGGAGGTCATCCAAGTGTCCTACAGTAGTTTCCCAATGTTCATTACCCGTCAACACAAATCAACTAGTAAGAGGAGCAGAATCCAATCTATTCGTCCTTGCGAGCTCTCATTTTTTCTTTTTTTTTTTCTTTTTTTTAAATATAGGTCAAGCAATAGAAATCCAACTTCAATTCACCTCATTCAACAACAGCACCATTTTCACCAATCATCACCAAATCAGTCAACAAATGCATCACATACAGCTGACAAAAAAAAGGGCTCAAAGCTCAA